CAGCTTCAACCAGAAGTCAGCTTCAAGAAGGGCTTCAAGCATCTCAAACGATGATGATTGGTTGATTTGAATTTAAGGGGACAGCCAATGGAATCGTCAGGAACAGCTCACATCATTCGTCCATAATTTGGAGAATATTTTTCGTTTAATAGTTGGAGAAAGTTATTTCTTTGGAGAGGTTGTTTGAGTAAATTCCGTAGTAGTGGTGGGGAAAGAATTCGCAACACATTTGGCAACCTTGCAACAAGCAGTCAACCTTCCCGGAGGCTTGCGGGTAAGAGCTCTGAGCCAGAGCACGCTAAGGCGAACACCTTCTTCAGCTGTCCTTTGAAGTTGAAAGTCACTTCGCAAATTAGAAATAGTCCCATTTTTCTTTCCCACTTCGCAACTTGTTAACAGTTTAATTCGATTTATCTTCATTAATTTATTTTCTTCAAAAAATAGTAGGAACAGAATGTGACGCATGGAGGACAAATATATTTTCGCATATTTTTCTTGGTCCCCAGAATATCTTCCCCATATTTATACTATACATAGTTGAACGGTGAATAATATTACCAACAAAGCGGGTTTAGCAATATTTAAAAACTAGGCATTTTTGCTCCTGAGTCATAGAACACATAATTGTCTCGATAAATAAACTACAGATGTGAAGCTATAGTACTTCTGCAAAATAGCAAACCAGACCCCAGCTTTCTATAACAATCGACAAAAGTAGAGACGTAAGCCAAGTGAAGGTAAGCAAAGTGAAGGAATGTTCGTAGTCAAAAACAAAACTGATATCAAGAATGGAAGAAATAGAAAGCCAGCCACCTTCATAAAGCATAATAAAATTTATTCTCAGTATACATACACACATGACTAGGCAATTAGTAGTGCAATCCAGACTTCACCACTCACGCCTATTCCATAAACTACCCGCCCCCCTTCTGTAACTTGTTGAAGGTTGAACTTACTGTGTCTCATAAAGTGAACGTTTGTCCTAAGTTTCATGAAGACAGAGGGCGCCTGAGCACCAGTGCAACAATTTGAAGCAGTCGTCTACTCCATGCCTTAACAACAGGAAATCATACAATTTTGCCAAAATATATTTAATAAAATATAATTGACTTTATGTGCGTATTAACATACAATACCATTTATGATTGGGTGTCAAGCTTTTGTATTAATAAAAATTCTTTGTTATTGTAAACACAGCACTGTATTTGTGACTAATGTAGAAATTCAGAATATCGAACCTTAATGAAAAATACTGAACCTTGGGTTGATAAGAATTTAGTAAATCAAAAACAAAACAAGAGACAAGTTAAACATTTGCTCAATGAACCTGGGAAACTGAACGAAAATCCTAATTGATACGGAGGTCATAGACATAGAAGCATATTTATTCATTTTAAATTGTGCAGCGAAAATGTTAACCAATTTATAAAAATAAATATTATTTTTCTTTTTAATGGTCAGTATTATCTATATTTTTAGCGAGTCTGTTATGCAGGAAAATATTTTACTTGGTATTTAAACGCCAGAATCGATTCTGATTGTTTCATGTCGTCTGGTCTGTCAATGACCTGTAAAGTATTGTACACATATTATATGGCTTTCTATAGCGCTATGTTGACTCTGATTCTTAATAAATATGAATATGAAGTGCGTCGTGATTATAAATATCTGTAGTGCATACAAGTATATTCTCTCTTGTAACAGTTCACACAAAAAATACGGAATCGAAAATAAATATTTCAAGGTAATAAGAAGATTTCAAGCTCAATGAAAAAAGGCCTGCAGAAATCATTTTGATTGTTTTTTCTGAAATTTAGAAGTCAGGATTCTGTAGGATACGCATCTCCAGAATATTAAGCCGCATTTCAGATATAAATCTACATTCATAAAATATGCTGCATGATGGTTGATTGAATTTCAAAATATTCCGAATGAATTTTCCATGTAAAACATTTGGTTTTAGCATATTACAAAGATTAAAATATAAACGTCAATTGTGCTTATCTGTTCTAGAAACGCCTAACAAAACTGAGTCACAAATGACTTTTTTTTAAATATTTATACATGTTGTATTCTCCATAAAGACAGCCTTAACTTATCGTGGGAAGTAATGTGTTCATGACCTTGTCAGCTTCTTCAATATCCGGAATATGTTCAGTATCTTTCATTTGCAAACATAATTTGAGACACTATGGTGTTCATAAGTACCCAACATAAGAGCTGCTAAAATAGGTCTTTTTCAGAAGCAGTGCGACATCATCACATGTAAGTTTCAAATAGTAAATATAGACTTAGATTTCTCAAAATTTAAATTATTCTTAATGAAAACGAAAAAATATTGCACGTAACATGTAGAAAATGGGTTTAGATATCACTCTTGGCAAATAAGAAAACTCACTCCTATCATTACTCCTTTTCATCAACCTACCCCACGTGCAATTTTACACCTTTTTATCCACTCGTTTCGTTAATTACAATAATGCACGTTTAAAGAAAGGGAATTTAAATTTGATTTTTTGATAGTTAATATTATAAATTGTTTTACAGTTGAAACTACTACACAAGGCATGTTTCTAAGGAGTTAAGAAATCTAACAAACAGAAACTCGCGTAACAAATGGAAGGACACATTGACAACAGTATAACAAAAAATTTGAAAATAAAATATTTTCGGCATCCGATATTTCCTAAATAAGAATTTTTCTCGCGGTTTGATGAATGATTTTTTCACAAATACCTATTTCCGTATACTATGAAGAAAAAATAAATTCCCTTACGTGAATAACGTGATATCATAATAAGTGAAAATAGTAATAGAATGTAATGTTCTGAATTTATTCAATCATATAGCATACATAATATATTTAGTACAAGGTGTTCTACAACACTACGAATATCCCTGATGGTGTTTCTAACAGTAGAATTGCTTAGTAGGCTAAACGTGCTAGTACATTGTCTACTTATTTTTTCAAAGTGATTGCCCGCTACAAAAGTGTAAGTGTTGCTAGAAGTCTTAGTTGCGGCTGAATTGTCTTCCACTTCGAGAGCAGCTTATTCCGATCGGTGGCCAGCTGCGTCCGAAGAAATTTACTCGGGTTCGTTAACCTGGCGGCAGCGCGCGTAGTACGAATAGGACCATGCGCAACAGCTGTAAATACGAAAAAACACGTTAAAGGTGTGTTTACATTTTTTTAAACTCGCTAAATGCGCAAGATTCATACTGTTTATAGGTGTCTCAGAATCAATGTTACTAATTTCTTGGGCATGGAGAAGAATCTAAGATGATCTCTTTTTGCCAATTAACATTATGGGGGAAATAACATGAAACCTTCTAAAAAGTTATATATGTGATGTTTGAACCTCATTCTCTGACAACTCCTCATGCACTAATGTTCGGCAGAGAAACGTTCTGAAACAGACAAAGGGATTTCGTATATTTGCTGAACGTTGGAGCATGAAGAGTTGCTTAACAATAAGGGACAAGTGAGACCCTAGTATTTCGATATGGAATTTTCAATCACATGTTCATTGACAAAAAGTGGTCTTCTCCGATCCTTCTACTTGTTCTAGAAGGTTGTTAGATTTATTTTCAGATAACCTACATTCGCAAGCTCATTTTCGTTGTGTTAATTGATTTTAAAAACTGGATTATTTTTAGTCTACAAATTTTGGATCGTGTATTACGAATGTTATACAAATCTAATCATTGTTGGTTTTATTAATAGTAACTGCTGCGTAATGTGTGCTGAGTGCATCGCGCACAGACAGATTGAGAGAGAGAGGAGAGAGAGAGGAGAGAGAGGAGAGAGAGACGAGAGAGGAGAGAGAGACGAGAGAGAGAAGAGAGACGAGAGAGAGGAGAGAGACGAGAGAGATGAGAGAGAGACGAGAGAGAGACGAGAGAGGAGAGAGACGAGAGACGAGAGAGAGACGAGAGAGGAGAGAGGAAAGAGGAGAGAGGAGAGAGAGGAGAGAGGAGAGAGAGGAGAGAGAGACGAGAGAGAGGAGAGAGAGCGAGAGGGAGGCGATGAGCGAGAGCGAGAGCGCAGAGAGAAATATAATTAACATCACATCGCGCAAGGTTTTCAGTCCAGCATGAGTGCGGTAGTACGGCGTCTATATGCCAGGGGTACCGTTCTGTTTCTGAAGGGGCCGAGTCAAGAAAGACAATTATTCAGAAGAGCATCTGTCTGTCATTATAATCCATCAATTATATTAACAGTTAGTTTCATTTGTGTAAAAAGTTTAGTCCCTTTTACTTATTTTAATTCATTTTATAAGATTTGCTCTGTTGGTTTGGATGCTACAAATTTTAAGACTTAAGAATAGTAGTTCACTGCTCGGATCCGGCATTCAATTGGTAAATAGTGAAGTAAGGTTTATAATAATTTATTCATTTTGTCTTACTTAGATCAAAAGTTTTTTCATTAATTTTAAGTATTCCAAGCCGAACTTTTATTTTCTTTCTTCCTTCTGTCAATGAATTAGGATTAAGTCAGCTCACATCTTCTCATTTGGCTCCCGGCAGATTCTTTTTCATTTCCTCGTACGAGGTGGTCCTCCAACCCTTTCTTCATCGCCTTTTGGCTTCATCGCCAGCTAGCGGAGACAAGTGTGCATTTGTGTATGTGTATGTGTGTGTGTGTGTGTGTGTGTGTGTGTGTGTGTGTGTGTGTGTGTGTGTGTGTGTGCGCGCGCTTGTGTATCCAGAAGTAAGTCTACGCTTATCATCGTGCGTGTCGGTGTGCGAGAGGTGGGTACGACAGGCAAGTATCCCATACGCACGCACTCACACGTTACATGCACACACGCGTTCAATACCGTATACTTTTTCAAAAATAGTTTTTATACAGAAAAATATCTAGCTTAAAGATCAAAGTCAATAAAAATATTGAAAAATATTGAAACTTTAAAACTTTCGAAAACTACAGATGTGAAAATCGCACCTATACCATAATTATAAGTGCGCTTTCCTCTACCCTATGAAACTGCACGTACAGACATGAACAACGGCAGCGAGAGCGTGGCGAAGCCCATCGCAGTCACCCGCGACGGCTTCTGCGCGCGCATCATCATGAAGCGCAGCGACGACTTGAAGGGCGGCGCGCAGTCCTCCCACCCGCAGTCGAACGCAGCGTCCGCCACGGTGCGGCTCTAAATGGCAACAAGACGGCGGGTATTGTCATACAGAACTTTAAAGATCTTGAAAAGGCACAGAAGACAATGGGAGGTAGTGAACAGACATGGGCGGCTATTGAAGCCCTGAGAGATCATGCAATGTTCTGCGCACACATCATCATGAAGCACAGCGACCATTTGAAGGGTGGCGCGCAGTCCTCCCACCCACACTCAAACCCCACGTCCGCCATGGTGAGGCTCTACACAGCAACGGAGACGAGATAAAATGTCAAATTATTAAGTGGGCAGACTATCAAAGACTGTGGCATATAATGGAAGTCTACGAAAGTTCCACGAAAGACCGTGAAATTCTATGAAAATCGCAAAGTCCATGATAGGAAATGCTCGTCCATTAATGGCCATGGTACACCGTGAAAAAACACGATACATTAGAGAAGAAAATGTGAAAGACTATTGAAGAACGTAAACGAACCTGATAGACCATGAACGAACGAACAACCGTGATGAAAGGTAAACGATAGTGAACGACCATGAACAAATGTAAACGACCATGAAAGAACGTGAAGAACCGAAGAACAATGAAAAATCTTGGAAGACGATGTAAGGCATTAGAAAACAAAGGAAGCATGTGGATGACAGTAGAAGAAATTGGAAGACAGTAAAAGAAATTGGAAATCAGTGGAAGAGACTGGAATACAGAAGAAGAAAGTGGAAGATATAGAAAAGACTGGAAGACAGAAGAGGCTGGAAATCAGTTTCAGAGTCTGGAAGAGAGTAGACAGTACTGACATTCAGTCTCTTCTACTGTCATCTAGTAACAGTAGAAGAGACAAAGACAGTAGAAGAGACTGAAAGACAGTAGAAGAGAATGAAAGATAGTAGATGAGAATGAAAGACAGTGGACAGTTAGTGGAAAAATATGAGGTAAATGAATACCTTGAAAGACAATATGGGAGAACATGACAAATCATCGAAAATGAAGAAAGTCTGTGAAAACAGTTAAGAGATTATGGTAATGGAAAACATTGAAAGGTCATAGAGGACCATGGGAGTCTCTTAAAGATCTAGAAGATCATGCAATCTTCTGCGAAGGCATCCTCATGAAACATAGGGACGAATAAAAGGGCTGTGCGCAGTTCTTCTACACACGATCCGAAACCGTTCCACAGCGAGAATGCAAACACAACAGAATTGGCGCTGGGAAGATGCGACCAAGAGCGTTTGACAAGAAAGAAGAATCAGGTTTGGAAGGACAGAATATGATTGTTCTGAATGGGGTCAATCTTCAGATTGTGAGAAACTGCATGATACTAACTTTCGCGTTTAATGTCGCTTATACGGATTTCATCAATCTTTTAAAACATTATCTTCTGATTCAGTAGGATGACAATGACATCAAATGGGATACAACATTGGAGTAAGTAATAATATTTAGGTAGTAAGAAGCTATCCGCAGTGGCGCTTTTAAGAAATAAAGACCACGACGTAATGGGTTTACAACCTTTTACACTTTTACAATAGTTTGTACCCCACGTTCTGGGGGGAGAAAACCTCCAACTCCCACGTATACGCAATATGCCTGTACTCACAGAACTAATGACTGAAACAATAGACTCACACACACGAAATACTCACCAGGAAAGAGTTTGTTGGCAATATTTCCGACAATGTTGACATTTAATGTTTGCAGTATTACATTACAGTCTTAGTATTATAGGGAAGCAACCTACAGATATGATCATCAATATTCCTTTTAATGGCTCTTCTCTACTAAAAATTGCTCTTGTACTTACTAGCAGTTCCAGCTGAGTTCCAACCGAACAGAACAGCAGTAGTTCCATCATCTCGAAGAGGAGAAAAAGCGCGAGGGCCAAAAACTTCACACTCGTCGGCGAGACCTGGAATCAAAGGCTAGATCAGCATATAAGAAAACCAAGATATAATTTTGTGTTTTTCGAGGTAGGCAAATTCGAACTTATCGCAATGAAAAAGTAACAAATTAATTTGTTTCTACTAAAATTGCCACCTTTTTTGAAGGTAGTAATAGTTATTTTAACTATATTAATGCACAATTATCAGAAGTATTCTATTATTTTCAGAAAATACTCACCATAGTAGCTTGGAAAGTAACGCAGCACAACATTATTGACATTGCCAAACACTCCATGAACATGACGGGATCCAATAAATTTTGAACAGCATCAACCAAACTGCAAAATTAAGAATCAGATATCTAGAATACGAAAACCCTCCCGTTTAAAGTAATCAAAATATATTTTGAGAATAGAATATTACACATGAGGGTATTGTAGACAATCTCATTTTAGGTCGCTTTTCAACAACTAAGTCATATAGCGACCACTGATTTTTTAACTGTAGGGGAATCACGTAAGGACAACACAAACACACACAAAAATCCATATTCAAAGCAGGATTCGATCCCACGACCCTTAAAGCCGAGGCACGTGCGGCCCTTTAGCATCGGATATTTAGGTCGGCCATCTCCCAATTGTTTGCAGCTATGTATAATCGTAATAAGTTGCAGCTATGTAGAATCCCTAAGGTTTAGGAGTAGAGGAGATCAACAGAAAGGAAACGGAATAATCGAAATATTTATTTAAGAACACCATTATTGTAAGAAGTCTTTTTGGTGTAAATTGACGATAACGATAGATGGATATTTCACAAATTACAAACGACTTCATACATAACTTGTATGAATAGAGATAATCACTATATTTGATGTTCTACATATAGTAAGAATGGTTTTATGTTCAATATGACTTTTTATTTTTTATTCTGCACGCTCATTATATTTAATACGATATTTATGAAATACTAGTGTACAGATTTCTCAATCGAACACTAACAAAACGTTTCAACAAATATTAAATGGTTTATGAGGAAACATTTGTTTCACAAATAAATGAAATGGTTGTTCCAAAGGGCTCCGAAGCATGAATATTAGTCTGTCGTACTCGGTATGTCAACGAAATTTCGGGCGCATTTCGAAGACTCGAAACTTTGCCGTAGAATCTGGAGGTTATTCGCGTCATTTCTAAACAGTGAGCGTACTGTAATTCTGACTACCGGCTGATGGCCTAAGGTTCTGACCATCTAAATGCGCTCACATTCGCAAGTTTGAGCGTGACACATACCGTCTCTACGTGCGACACAATCAAGCCACAAAGATTTGCATTCTTTCCATTCTAAACAATAGATTTTGTTCTGTAATAGTTATAAATATTCTCAGCGATTGAACTAACTTTAATTACAACCTTCTTCACATTAAAGATGAAACGAAATCGTTTAGAAATTGCTGTTCAGTGACGAAATGCTTCTCAGGAAAAGTACATAAACATTTTCTACCTAATCTGATTGAGCAGAAAACAGTGGTTTGTTTTATTCTGTGACGAAATACTCACGCTGAAGAGTGAAGAGGAGACTGCTCACCTGATGATGGCCTGGTGGTGCAGCACGGCCTGGCGCAGGCCGTGGGCCATCTCCTGCTGGAACGCGCGCTCGTTCCGCGCGTGCCCGCTCACGCGCAGCAACGCCTCGGCGCGCAGCTCGCGCAGCGAGTCGTTGAGCGCGCGGAACTGCGTGCACGCGAAGTACACCAGCGAGAAGAAGACGTTGTTGGTCTGGCACGCGATCCACGAGTCCACCGTCGTGGACAGGCTCAGCAGCACGTACGCCAGCTCCCAGCCGGGGGACGCGCTGGAGTCGAACGGCAGCCAGCCCTGGCGAGCGGACGCACATTCAATGATTATTTCGTCAACCGCTATCCTCATTGCCCCACATGTGTATGCATATTATAATATAAAGTGGAGGTGCTCATTATTCTTCCCTGCTGTAATATGAGATCCAGAGACCTACGCGTTGGCATGGGTTCTACAGGCTGATTTCCTCTGCCAATATCTCCATAGCGGGGAACCATCACAACCTGTACATACTCTTCGCTGCCAACTCGTCTCTCGACATGGTAGGTAATGCGTGTGTTTTCGGAAGAAGAGAGGATAAAACGAGGAAAAGGAAGGACAGATTGTGCGCATTCCATAGCATGTTGTTATGGTACTGCTTCGGCATTCATATCATGTATTCGATAGAAACCACAGAAAACTACCGATCAGAGCAGCAAGTCGCTAAATTATCCAACCTTGTCGAAAATACGTTACCATTGTATTACAAAGTCTACGAATTTTCAGTGAGAGACGCTGCAGCGCCGACAAGTGTCACAGATCTAGTAATGGCATCCGGAGGTGCCCCAACTGTTGGTTCAACTGGTAGTATGGTTGCTTTTCAAACTGATTCTTTGAGTCGTTGAAATCTTTTTCCAATTGTATTTATTGGTATTTCGCTGTTTTTGGTGGAATGCAGCTATCGATGCGGCTTTTTCACAATCTCGAGTAAATTGATATTCATAAAGAAGGTAATTACATATAAACGAGTTAATTATGGCTTGCGCCGTCTCTCGGATCCCATCTTCCAGAACTTGCGGTCGATCCAATCCTTGTCCTACAGGTCTCTAGCCTTCATAGCTTCGTTGACTCCATTTTGCCATCATCTTGGTGGTCTTCCCCGTTTTCTGCGTTCTCCATTTCCAAACTTTTTTGTGCCATCTGGTATTTTACAACAGTTGAAGGTGACCATACCACATCAATTGTTTTCTGTTTCAATTGTTTGTATGATGTTATTTTCAACCTCCATTATTTTACGAATGGTATCATTTCGAACATGTTCCACACTGGAAATACCACAACTCCTCCAAAAATCCATTTCAAGAGCTAATAGTTTGTCTTTGTCTCTTTTATTTAGCTCCCATGTTTCATAACCGTATGCACATATATTCTCAACAATGCTTTTATACATTGTTCTTTTGGTTTTCTTTGTAATTTTGTCGTTCCATATTACTCAATTTAAATGCCGAATTGCTCTCTTTAACTGACTAATTTTATTTACTACGTAAGCTTTGCTTTTACCACTCTTAGTGTCACTCCCAGATATTTAAAATGTTTGCAATGGCGCACTTTCACTGTTCCTAAATCCACGTCATCTATATTTCCTCGCGTGTAACCAGATATTCCGTTTTATTAGTATTAATTTCCATTCCCCATTTTTTGAATTCTTCTTGAAGATGTCCGACCATGTATCTGAAGACTCATCAGCAGCTACAACACCTTAGTCATCCGCAGATAGCTGAGTATTCAAGGTATCGTTGTCAATTGGTATACCCATTCCGCTGTATTTACCTTTCCATTGCACTAGAACCTCAAGATAGATCTTGAATAATAGTGGGGCCATTGAGGACCCTTGTCTTAAGCCCTTCGTAACCCGGAATCTTTGGGATACACACTTTTTCCAATTTTCACCATACTCTCGTAATCAGTGCACATATTTGGGACAGTATTAATGTAGGTCCTACTTACACCTTGTTTATTTAAGGACAGCCACAAATTGCTTAATGACTCTGTGTCGTAAGTCTTCTTAAAGTCGATGAAAGTCAACCCATCAATTCCCATAGTAAAATTAATAATGAAAATCGAATAAAAATTACATGAGAGAGTTAATTACATGTGCTTGTAACGTCTACAAATAAAAAACAAACATTCTTTTGGTTAGTTTTTTGGAAATGGGGTATCACCTGCATGTGACACTGGGTGCGCTATACATACTGGCACACTGCTCTATTGTACATTTTGACTACCACGGGACAATCAAGTTTGATTTTTGTTCGTTTTTTGTTTAATACTGCAATTCGATCCACTTTTAAAACTGGTTGCAAATTGTGACAGTTGAAAGCAAAAGTTACTATACGTATATGTATTGTTGTCATTCCATCTGACAACATTAATATACTTTGATACTATGTAGTTTATTTTGCCTCTATTCATTTTCTGTTCTTTGCATTCATGAGAACTGTTTTCAAGGCGGTTTTCCCTAACTCTTCCAGTCCCACAAATATTACTCTCCCGTAAATATTTCAATAATGGTAAACCAGTAAAATAACTGTCAAAGTATAATTATAAGGCCCTAATTCTTGTAGGATTCTGGAATGTAGTTCCAAAACTACTGCAGCTCCCAAAGCAAAATTCTTTGTAATTTCAATGGTGCACCTTGGTAAAGTTCGCAGCTGGCAAGGTATCCATAACGAATAGCTGCATACCAGACCTTATAGCCAAAACGAAGGGGTTTGCCACGATGTGTGGTTTGGTGCCATGTCTGCCAAAATAAGGTCAATAGTTTCATCAACAGAAATATGGGTAGAGCCAGCTTTTTCAAAATTAGCGCCGAAATTGTGGTTGAGAATTTGAAAATACTCACGTACTTTTGCAAATTTATCATTATTAGATAATAAACTTATCACACAAGTGTAAGTATTGCTGTGTTTCAAAGAAACGGTTTCGTACCATACTGTTAGAAACAAGTTCTTTGTGAGTGCCACTTTTCTTCTCCCAAACTATTCTCACATATTGCGGTGTCAAATATCCGGTAAACAACAATTTTGCAATGTACACCCTGATTTCATCCATTGTTACATTTAAAGTATGATTTCGTTGCAGCGCGTACAAGTTACTCATTTAAGAAATCATTTGTACAATTTCATTCCTGTAGAATAATTCAAAGCATTCAGCTTATTACCACCTGCTTTCAAAACCTCTTCTTCACAATCCCTTTTCCCACAGGCGTACATACTGATGTATTGTTCAACCACTTATTTACTGTGAACTCTTTTTTCAAGTTTAGCTTCAAATTCTTTGCTTGAAGACCTGTTTTGCCTTTCCACTCGCTTCGTAACATTCGGCTAGGAAGATGGATAAAGTCGGACTGAATTTTTCATCACCCGTCTTCATCCCTCGGTCTAATTCTTCCACAATCTCAACTAATGATAACGTATTATTGGAGAAAGTTTATAGATGAATTCTTCATTATAGAAAGTTTAAAATGTTTCTTTGCAGTAGCCAGAGGTTTTCTCTCCTGAAATAGATTCACTACTTACACTTGCGCCACCACGGAGCAGTCGTATCATCGAAAAACTACATGAAAGACCGACCGAATCACCCTGTGCAATTGTACTACAAAAGTAATCGGATCAGCTGTCGAAAAGGCGGGAAAGAACCGTTGATTCGTCCAAACACTCGTTACCATCACCATAAGAACCATTCCATCCTATTCAAATCCCATGAAGGTTTGAGCGCGAAGACGAAATGTTATGAAGCAGCCGTGTCTCACGCCAAGGCCCAAATGTCTCACCCAAGGACCATTTGGCCCTTGAAACTGCGAAAGCAACGGGAAAGGTACCTGCAGAGGCAGCGGCTTGTGGCCGGCGGTGACGTCAGCGCCGCTGAGCGCCAGCAGCGCCTCGGAGTCGTTGGCGGCGCCGGCGACGAGCGCGGGGGCGGAGGCGGACGCGAAGGCGAACAGTGGCACCAGCAGCCAGGCGAGGCACGACAACATGCACGTCCCGATCAGCAGCGAGCCCACGCGCGTCGTGAGGCGGCGCGCGCCGACCAGCATCACGTGACGACGCGACGACGGCAGCCCCGCCGCTTCCATGCGCGCCAGCCGCCTCATGCACCGCTCCACCTGTACACCAGCGCACACGAGCTCTGTGCAAAACTAGGGGGTGCTACAACAGCACGCACTTTCTCGCGTTATGTACAAATTTGAAATTTTCGAAAATTCAGAGAGTTTAACGAAAATGCAACATAGGAGGAGAAAATTTCAAGAAAATGTTGGAACCTTTTTTTGGGAAGGGTTGGTTTAAATATTTAAAACCTGTCCATATTACACGCAAAATTACACGAAACCTACTCACATTATCGAAAAATTGCACATGATCGTATTTCATGATCTGCCTTTGATGAATAGATTTCATTAAGTAAGCAAATCTCTATCTTCAATATTGTTGTAGGAAGACGCCAAAAAAATGGACTTTTCCAATTTTCAAAAAATCAGCTATTTTAACGATAATGAGACCTGCGTCCTATTAAACTTGCTTTACGCTATCCAAGAACAAAGTTTAATAAAACAAATTGGATTCAATTTTCGCAAATCTTTAAAATGTTGTAGAGGCATCATTAAGTACCTCCAAAGTCAAAATATCCGAACTCAGAGAAACTCAAGTTAGTTAAAATAAGTTATGTCATGTCAATTTTAGAGAAAATTGGATGGTTTAGGAGCTAGCGTGGTACAGACAGACCAGCGGTGGGACAGGCACACGTTTCGCCGTGAAGAGATATTTCAGTGTCAAGGACACACAAAACATGGATTCTGGCTACGCAACGTGTTAGATGATTTAATTTACTTGATATCCTTTTTTTGTTACAAAGTCCTGCAATAACACTTTTTCGATCGAAAATTCGCCGATTTCGGGCGCCCGATTGGATATATTACATCGCACAAAAAAAAGACGAAAAGAGAGAAAGAGAGGCAGACAGATAGACAGACAGACAGACAGACAGACAGACAGACAGA